TTATGTTTATTCTAAGCAATGCTTTACCATCATGGTAAGTACAGTAGTATTTCATAGAGATTTTCAAACATTTTAAGATTCAACATAAAAGAAGTCAATAGGCATAGAAGTTATCGACATGAATATAATTTATATTCATATCAATAATAACATTTTAAGATAAACATTTTTCTTTTTTGAATATTAACATTGAACATTCCTTCATTAGTAGTAATAAAAAAAAACTTAAATACATTTTATTGAAGTATAGCAGAGATTCTCAAACTTTTCTTTTTCGGTAAAGTGATTTTTGAGCCACTCTGTAGTATTTAAATCAGGAAGATAGTAACGTCTTGTAATTGTTTTTTCATCAAGTTTACACATGATGTGTCATTTTGATTGGCTCTACAGTTTTTTTTCAAAAAAAAAACATTTTATTTTTATGTTTTCATGACTGAGAACATTTTCAACCGACTTGTTATCTTTAGAAATAAATACACACACACACACCTATCTATAGTCGTGCTCTAATGAGTGATGAAGTAAAAAAAATGCAGAGAACAGAAGAACCATCATACGTTTAATATAGATAGCAAAAGTAAAAGAATACAAAAAACAAAGAGTGAAGTTCTTTTATCTTTCTTATCTCTGGTGAATTTTGTATTATATTATCTTTGAAAATCTTATGAGAGCTCTCTTATCATTTGTGTTTATTTCAATCGAAGGCCATAAAGAATAAGAGTGTCACTATTTTTCAAATATCTCTATGAATTTTCATTCCTCATGTATTATTATTTTTTTCAAATTTGATTGCTTCAACTAGCTCGTTTCAACTGCAGTAGTACAATAGATTCAAATCAAAACTGTTAGGAGGCCAATGGCCCTTGCTGATTTGTTATACCACTCTTGTGATTTTTTCCCACTGGTAGCACTTGGTTGGTGTAACAATGGTAGTCGACTGTACCATTCTCGAAGATAACTAAGATGGGTACTCATTTAGAGTACACTCCGAGTTAGATCGTAATTTTTTGCGAAAATTTATATTTTCACCTAATATCAGCTTTTGCACGATCTACAAACTATATTTTGTCCTTATGAGAATAATAGACTCTGTCTATATGGAATAATTTCTCGACAGAAAACAGAATCTTCATTGTGTCGTCGTTTTTGAAATTCGTTGGTACCGAATTTTCTTCTGATTTTTTTTTTGAATGGTTATCTTCGTTTGAATCGTTTGTAAACGATCGGATGATCTTGACCATCAAAAATATTCGTAGATCCATTGCCATTTTCATATTTTGAAAGTACAAACTTCTGTGAGTCTTCACTTTTTCATAATCTGAAGTGGTAATAATTCTATCGAATCTGCGCACAGTTCATAGTTTTGTAGAGAAACCAATAGCGCATTTAAAGAAAAAATTGAGAGAGATATTCGAAAAATACTGAGGCCTTCATTCTTTATTATCCATCCACTACAATATCAAGTGTAAATAGATATGTTTGTAGTTACCTTTAAATGTAATCATTCTGAAGATGTTCTTGGCTCAAAAAACGATAAAAAGAAAAGTGTTGTCACAACAAGAAAGAATTTAAAACATCAGAATCAAACGAGATGCCGAGCTCATTTTGAACATATAATTCTTAAAAAAAATATTTCGGTTGCCTTTACTTGGATATGGTATTTTACTTTCAATCATGTTTCCATTAAGATTAAGATGAAACGGACACAATCCTTAGAATTTCTTACATTCAATCTAATCATGAGAAGTTCTTCTAAATGTTTAACTTGTTTATTCCATTCATCAATAATATCTGCGAATGTTTAACTAGCATTTAATTGTCTTTTCGCTATCGAATGTTTAATAAAATTAGTCAGATTCTTCCGTAAGCATCATAGATGAGTCATAAGGGACTACAGCATCATGGCATATGTAAATGAACAAAATGGAGAAAAAGATGACCTTCGTAGAATTTGAAACATAAATCTTTTGTTCCCTTCTAATTAGTTTAAACGGAAGCTTCTCTACGATTCATTCCAATTTTCACATTTTGAATGTACAAGTTCCTAAAAATTCTTATTTGTCATGTACGAAAACAGCAATAATACTATCTTATATGAAACACTTGTGTATATAATCTGTTGAGAATTAAATGGAGAATATTTTAGGAAAAATTGAAAGGCTAAATATAATACTAAGACGATCACTTATTCTGAACTATTTGTTAGTTATATCGAAATGAATGATATACATGTGTAAAACTTGACTAAGTATATCTCATTTCATATGCAGAAAATCGATAATCGAAAAGTTCTTTCTATTGAAATCATTATCTGTGTTATTTTTATCGACCAAAAACAAGAGCAACAAGATTATCGATCATTTGTCTGTCTATTCTAGGGGTGTGTTAAAAGTAGATGGCAAAACGTTGGCAGAAGGTGGTCTGTGGCAAGATTGTGGTTATATTGGGACATGGACTTGTGTCTTTCGCGGATTCTCATGTTCTGGCTTGCCCTCACCTTTGATGGGTGAATGTATAAAACTGATAATGACACGAGTGTTCATCATCTTGGCATGTCTTGTGTCTGCATTCGGTGCCACAAATCTTCTACAGGTCGCCAGATCAGGAGGAAATAATCCACAATATATCATGTCTAGCAAAGTTTGTGCTGCTGTATCGGTCCTGTGCGGAATTCTTAGCATATCATTGGGTATTAGTTGGGCTCTGTATGGTGGTGTTGCAACATTAGGTGCAGCTGCCGCTTTAGGAATCGTTGCTACTGTTCTAAGTCTTTTCAGTACTGTTGTGGCTTTTATGATTCGTTGAAAATTAGCATAATCCAACTACATAACTTTTGACACTTTAAGTATTTTTCTACTATTTCTATGATTAAATAATCACAAATATTTGCTTTCGAAAAAAATTAATAAATAAACCAGCAATTACTTATCCTTATATTGATTTTTTGTTGAAAATAAAAAGAAATCAAACTAGATCTCAATTGATTTATACCGATGATTGATGCATATAAATGTGAATTCATTAGGAAAAATGTTTTCAACGAGAATGTTTGGAATCTATTTTAGGTGTGAGTGTGTGATTTAGAATAAAACGAAAACATCTACATCCTAACTAACTTATTTGTAACTTTGTTTCATATTCAATTCAGAATCTGATCTCATTAATACGATATAAACAAATAGTAATATTTTAATTAATGTTTTCTATATTTTTTAAAACTACTAATAATTATATTTATCTAAATTATTTGTATATTAAAATAAAGAAAAGTTTGAATTAAACTATTTCTATAAATATAGAACAATGATTGATTGTTGAATATCGATCGTTAATTAGAGAAATATTAGTTCGCAGAATTATTTTTTCAAAAACTGTAATTTCATAGTGAATGATATACAAAGAAAATTTTCATGAATATGACTTCTCATATTAATCGTATATTTGACTATGAGTGATAAAACACACTATTGTAATTCTTGATCTGCAATAAAAAATATAGAATAATTATTTTATATTCACCATTTGTGGCTTTTAGATGAAGTTATCGTCAATTTTATTAATATGACGATCAATTCTTAGCAATGCAAATTTTTTTAAAGATGATAGAAAAAATGGAATAGAATTAAATATCATTTTATTTTCTTCTTACTAAACCAGATAATAAGATGACAGATCAAACAAAAGCTCTTAATAGGTTTAAGAATTTTATGCAGTATATCAGGAATTCAACAGATTCTTTTCGAGTAGATTCATGACTATTTTATAAACAGTTTACTATTAACAAACAGTTTCAGGATACGAAATTCTACCAATCTATATTTTCAATCCAATAAATGCTCAACGGTACATGGCTGAAGATCAATTTGATTCCTGATAATTCATAAAAATCTATACACATATGTCAAAAAAATTAATCTATAGTTACATTCAAAGACAATATTCTTTTCTTTAGACAGACACAAGCGACTATAATACTTTCTCGCAATAGTATAATACGTAAACTCCTCTAAAATAAGTATTTGATCATCATCTTCTTAGTTTATGTTCTAACAATAAAATACAATCATTTGTGTACGTTTCAGAGATGGACAACTCTGGACTTTAGCCGCTCCATTCCAACGAACATAAAAGATCGTTGTTTTATTGGAAAATTCACAGCTTTTTATTGGCTCTTTCGCACACTAGCTTTCGTACTAATTAATGACGCGCAAATTCTGTTTTAAATGATAAAAATGAAAGAGGGAAAACCACAGTTTGCGGTATCCGTTTGATATTTTCTCACTCCAACTCGAGATATTCATTCAGTCGCTCCGCTCCGGGGTCGGACCTGTCCATCTCTGGGTACATCTAAATATGAACTTAATTTAATTTAGAATTCTCAAGTACATTTATCAATGATGAATAATAAGTGTTAATTTCAAAACTTAAATTTACAAGTAACACTCAGCGAAATTCAATTCGCTTGACCCTAGACTGAGGTAATGGTCTAGAACCGAATATTTACTTTTATCCGTCTGTCTCTCTGTAACACCCTAACCACGTAGTAACTATGATTCAATAACCACCGACAAAGCCTGAAGGAGCACGAATATACTCTGAACGAGCAAAAACTGGCATAAATGACCACAAATATGGTACATGTGGTCACCTGTATGGTCCATATGACAATAAACATGCCCAACACAATCGTACCTGTAGTCTTTTAAACTTTGTGTGTCTTAATTCGAACCATATTTGTGTAACATCACCGGTTAATTATGTCAGGCTTGTAATCGTTTAGAATATCTTTGTGGTCATTCAGATCATATTTTGGTTGCCTGTGACTTAGATACTGAGGTTTCAGCTATACCTGTCGTCACTTTCACCGAGTTTATGATCATTGTTACCATTTCTTCACTCGTACCATCTCTATGGTCACTGACCATAGAGATAGTACGAGTGATCAAAATATGATCTAAATGACCACAAAAATGATTCAAGTCACCAAGACGATGGTCCCAATGACCATACCTGCTATCATTTGTAAGATCTTTCTGGTAACTTGTACCACGTCTGTGACCACTTGTACTACCTTTGTGCTTCCCTGTACCATGGTTATGATCACTTTTATCATTTCTGTGGTCATTTATACCATGTCTATGGTCATTTGTACTATCGCCATGGTCTCCTGTACCGCCGACATGGTCACTTGCACCATCTTTGTGGTCACTTGTACCATTCGTATGGTCATTTGTACCATAAAAATGGTCATTTGTACCACGACTATGGTACTTTGTACCTCGAAAATGGTCACTTGTATCATCAGTATGGTCCCTTATACCATCGGTATGGTCACTTGTACCACGACTATGGTACTTTGTACCATGAAAATGGTCATTTGTACCACGTGTTACAGACGGACAGACAAACAGACACAGGTGAATTTCGGTTTCTAGACCCTATTCTTTCAGTCTAGGGAATAGTTGTTTGTTGTTTCACCTGTCTATTAGCTTTTAGTTCTCTGACGATAGTTATTATTTATAGAAAACTATGTTTTAACTTTCCTACTCTATTAGTTTGCAATACTCTTCTAGCCATTTTAATACTTTCGTCTAATCATCTACCGATTGCTGTCTCCATATTAATTTTTGATCAACAATCAGTACCAAAAATTGATTCTCTTTGTCCGTTACGTGCCTATATTCTTTATTGTAGTATTGCTTGTGTTCATCAGTAATTTATTCTACAAACATTAGAAAAATATTTAAAGATTAGAAGAATCAAATTTTTTAATAGTCAAATTCGAAAAATTGGCATTGCTCTTGTTCAATGGATATTTTATTTTATTTTGACTCTGCCTGTTTTTTTTAACAGGTTACATGATAAAACTGATGATCGACAATTTATGTTTTATTTGATTATCAAGATTGGATCTTTTACTTTATACAGGTGTAATCATTTGTATTTTATTAGATATTGTTCTTGCCGTTATATATCGTCTTTTAGTGAGATATGTACGTCAAGTTTCATCGAGAATCGATGGCAATCACAAGTTAAAAATCCATCGAGACTTGACAATGGTACATCGCATCGTATTGATAAATTTTCAATTGGTTATCGTCACCATTCCGGCAATTATTATTATGATAGTGACCATAATTCATTCCGATCTTTTACCTCATAATTGTATGCGGGTCGTATTCATGATTGGAAATTTAGCCTTAGCTATTCTGATAATCACTTTGTTCCGTATTACACCAAATCTTCGACAAAGTGTTGCCGAATGTTTCAATTTAGCATCTGGTTTTCTAATAAGCAGCAACAATCGAGTCAGACCAATAACAAACACAAATCGCTTTTAAACTTTTATTGTCTTATGATTATTTTTTTCTAAAAAAAAATTACTAAGTCGAGTATCTCAATCGAACTTTTTACTGTATTCACTTCATACATTGATGATAAAGAGATTTGATGAATCAATAAAAACGTAAAATATCTCGAGTAATAGACTAAACGATGGTTGAGATAGTCTAATGCTTCATTCAAGAAACTCGTCCAAATGACACCGATTAGTATGAATGCATCACTGATATGATTATTGACTTGCCAACTAGAAGATATAAATGTGATACAACATTCTTAATCATCAATGACTTGAAAACTATTTTTCATAATCTTACAGATGTCCATCATTATTTGAATTTTGTGTTTTTAATGAACAAAAAAAATCGATGATGCGTAATTAAATCAAAATCATGAAGACTAGCAATTTACGTTAGCTTTTATATTGGTCGTAAGAGATCGAAGATAATGAATTGTGTAAGAGAAGAGAAACAGAAGTATT